TAAACAATCTGACTGAGGAAGAATGTGCCATTCAGGTTGACTTTGCTGAGAACTACAGTTGTTCTTATCAAGATGAGATCCAAACAGCTCACTGGGGCCAAGAAGAGGTTACTCTGTTTACAGTGGCTGTTTGGACCAAAGCTAAGTCCAATGCTGATAGAGTGTGTGATTCATATGTCATTGTATCAGATGATACTGATCATGACAAGAAATCTGTGACAGCATTCCTATGGCATGTAATCAACTGCTTTGTAAAAGGCAAGCACCCAAATGTCAAGCATGTATATGCATTTTCAGATGGGCCAACATCTCAGTTTAAAAACAGATACTTGGTCAACTTCTTGCACAAACTCAAGAAGATAGTAAACATTCAGTGGAACTRTTTTGCAACCTCTCATGGCAAGGGTGTCGTTGATGGAATAGGTGCAACAGTAAAGCGGCTTGTTTGGAATGCAGTCATGACCAGGGCTGCACCTGTAAATCAAGATGCACATTTACAAAGTGGCTTGTACTCTCCCAATGGCAGTGGATGTTAGCCTTGTTTCCAAGAAAGAAATAGATGATATATTAAGTTCTCYATCCATGGAGAAATGGTTCTCAGAGGCACCACCAATTCATGGGATTTCTCAATTTCATTGCATTGAGCCAACAGAGAGAGGTTTTGTCAACTGTCGCCTTTATTCTTCTCAGTCATCATTTCAGAGTGAAGGACCACCAGACRTATTTCCATATAACAGCGACTTAGAATCAAGCTGTTCTGGTGACACTACTAGTGAGTATGAAGACTGTAGTGAAGATGAAGAGGATGAAATAGCTTATCATAATCAAGAGGATGATCTTGATAAAGAAGAGAAAGAAAGTGATATAGTGGATRGGATAGAAAATGAAGAGGGTGGGGACTCAGAGACAGAGATGCCAGCAAAGAAGGACAATGAGAAACATCTCCACATAAAACTTTGAATCCCAGATGAYCTGTCTAACCCACTTAATCAACCATCAGTGCACTATTCTCTTCCTCAATACAAAAYCAATGAAGTGGAAGCAGTATTAAGCAATTGAATAAATTTCAAGGGAAGTAATCTCATAAKTCCTTCAGATTTGAAGAGTTTGACAAACATTGATGCTGTAAAAGCTCRAGACAAGTGGCTGACCAATTTTATTGTTGACGACTACATGAGGTTAATTCAGTCTACTAGTCACAACACCAATGTTAAAGTAAAAGCTATTTCATGGGAGGTGTTTGAGAAGACAAAGAGYTGTAAAATTGCCAAGCACCTCCAGGATGATAAAGAATCACCTTTTCCCACATATGATCTCGTTGTTATACCTTGCAACAAGCCACRCATTGAGCATTGGTTTCTTCTTGTTGTTCTCCCAAAGAAGAAGATAGCTGCTGTTTTAGATAGCAAAACTGGTAACTTTGTAAAGCCCTCAGCTCAAACCGTGCTTGACAAGATTGGTACTGTCCTTAAAGAGTTGGACTGTGATGTACAAGATTGGAGGTTTACATGTAACACTAAAGATGAAATACCCCAGCGGACCAACGGTTACGACTGTGGTGTCTACATATGTCTGTATGCCAGATGTATAGCAGGCTTAGGGCCAATGCTTCAAAAGTCTTGTTTTCCACAATTTAGACAAGGCATGGTGTACAGTCTCCACAGGAGGATTCTGCACATGATTCCTGAGCCAGCTATCATACTAGAGCACTACTATGCTGTCGACTATCTGACCAACTACTACATTGGCAGGGCACTCGGCTTTGAAAACCAGATAGTGAAGTTCAAGTTCCTTCACAGAGTAGGAGCTGAGAGATTCGATTGGCCTAGAAGGGAAGATATAGATAAYAAGCCTATTTCCTCTGTTTTCTTTGGTCCAATCACACTTGAGAATACAGGTCCTTTTGTTGTACCAATGCGACAGGACATTGAGAAAATATTCAAATCAATCAAGTAGTAACATGTCAAAGTCCTTTTAATACTACCGTAAGGAAAACCGCTGCTTTTATCCTTTTGGATATCAAAAACAAACAAACTTTATAGTTGATTGATCTTATTATGAACATTATAATGAATATGAAACATTGTTTGGTGACTATGATTATTGATAAAGGSTACAATATTTGATTGCTCTAATCTCGTTTTTGAAAACTGTTTTTGCCTGATTACAAATAGACTATTATATTTACCTTTGTTACATTTCAATTGTTTTTAGATATATATTATCTATATCATTTATATATTATACTGGTACTTTAAAAAACTTTGTAATTGTAATGGAAAATATCCTTAAATTAAGTTCCAGTACCAAGAGTTTGCTCATCTGGAACAAAGGGAAAACATTTGATTTTTGTGAATACGGTAATAACGTAATGTCCACAAAATTTCTGAATAGCCAAAAACAATATATAAACAGTATCCATTCTAAAATAATCCATTTATCAAGCTAACAGAGCACCCTCAACAACTTTGGAATGTAGCTCTTAGTTTTTTCAGAATTTAAACTTAAAGGTCCAAATGTTGTGGACATTACGTAATGTCCACAACAGAAATTAAATCACATATTTKGAAGAAGGGATCAAGTAGTTTTGTGAGTTTTCATTGCCACCTGAAAGATAGAGTTGAAGGTTATGTTTTGATGGAAAAATGCAAAACATGATCTTTTAAACATTCATTCTATTGCATGTCAAAAAGCATATCGGAAATGTTCAAATTTAGGTGTTTGGGGAAACATAAATTTYGATGGCCGCTAACAGAGTGGGTGTGGTCAGAACTGATTATATTTCATAAATTTCAAAGAATATAGTTATTAAGCTTTCAAATTATATCACATTTCCCAAGATATTATTTATATTAAAAAATGCCTTTTTTCCAATGTCTCATATGGAATTGCCCAGTGCACACAAACCGTACCCCCCTAATGAGGTAGTGTATAGATATCGTACGAAACAACGGTTCATCATCTGTACTTAACGAGGTAAAACCACTTGAATTATGCTTGCAATAATCACAATCAATCTTAATGTTCATAGCTCCTYGGCGTATAAACAATGTTGYRGCATACTTTTATCGCCAGGTATTAACTGTTGATAAAAAACCGTTGTTCACTATTGTGAACCGTTAGTGTTTAAAGTAATATATATTCTCTAATTAATATTCTATTCTAGCGATACACCATAGTTAATYGTTTCTAAATCGGAACTCTTAAATGGATATGTTCTATAATTGCATGAAATTGTTGATCTCSAGCTATGAAATATTTATCCACAGTGACATAACTTGAAATTTTAAACCACAGTTCGTTATTTCAAAGTTTGTGATGGTGATTCGTTCCGTGATGAATGCATTTATGGTAATTAGGCATTGGAAATTATGAGTTCGGCAAAACAATGCAGGCACGATGGTGTGTCAACTCGTTCTTCCAAGGGAATTTGAGAAAATAAACTTAAAGTATCCCAACAGACCCTCATCTCCATCTCCCCTTCATCGACCACTCCTCCCTTGACAAAGTTAAAATGCTCTTTGGAGGTGCAGAATATGGGGGAGTCTCAGTCAAAGACTATGTCCTCTGAGTCTTAGGTGCTGGAAAATGTACCGTCCACCCTTCTAAAAGTAATAACAAATTGTGCCATGATATAATCTGTGCGGACCATCTAAAGTCATTTAAGAATATTACTTCACTTGATTCTACTCCAAGCCAAGCAAAACTGCTCKTCACGGGGTTACTAAACGTAGTATACAGGACAGTCAGGGGATTCAAGAGGAAAGTCTTGCCACAATTTGATGGGCCCTTCACAAGAATATTACGATACTTTGCCCTTCCATTTTCAAGTAGACATCGAACTGCACCGCAGAATTCTTGAACATTTATTCTATTGCGATCAAGTATGTTTAGTRCCAATAGAAGCCAATTGTTGTGACACCCATCAACACAAACGCCACTCAATGCATTATTTAGCAACTCTATTCGAGACAGACAAGATCTTTTAAGCTTCTCCTCTGCATTCTTCATATCCCAACCAACACGGATTGCTTCACCAACTGCTTTACTACCTCTGTTTGCAATAAATTGTGCCAGTTCTATTTTTCCTTCTTATTTTTCCTTATTAGCTAGTGCTAACAGTTCTAATCGAGTCTTTATTCCTTTCTTGACAGCTATTTCTGACACCTCAAAAATACTTAGTTGTGCTTTGCGACCTTTTTTCTTTGTCATTTTTCTTTGTCACTCTTGTAGATTGWGGAGCTGTAATTTCTGGATGCCCTTGTGATTCTATAAACTGTGAATCATCTTTCCTTGTATAACTCCACGCTGTATAGTAGTTACTATGTCAGTTCAAGAAGTTGACTTTGATTCCATATTCCTGCTGGATATAATTTCTTACTCTAAGCCATCTACGACAATTTTGCAGATGGACAGCCATGTTATAGTGACTTCCTGAGCTTACATAGAGCTCTCTGCTACACACCCAGTGTATAATATTCGCATTTCTACCAACTGTAGGATCACAGTTCTCRAATGCATCCATTATAATGTTTGCGAAAACCTCACGTGTTGGAACTTTTACGAGGTCGGCCTGACTATAAGTAATAAGTATACACTTCGCACCTGACAAGTATTCATCTATTTATCTTTTGTCGGAGATTCAGTTATACCGATAGTACCCTTAGACTATAGATTCTTAGACCACACAAATTCTTATTCATCAATCCTGACTGACTTACAACAAACCTGTTGAGCTCTCCGATCTCCTGTAGATTGTTTACAATAACTAACCATTGAAATCGACATACAAAATTGTTTAACCAGACATTAATTGTGTTCCTAATCACAATTGATTACACGATTTCAAGTGTTGATAGGCCCTCATAAAGATACTTTTTACTTGAAACCCTAAATATATATTATTTCTTCATATAAAAAAAATATTTTCCATTTTCCGTAAAACATAATCAATAGTTAAACAATTCATTTATATAAAACATATATGATGATACCCAATGTAAATGATTTCTCACTCCAAACATATGATTTTACTAACCGAATGATCCGTCCAAACTACGCATTCCAAACATGCCATTAAAATATAATCTTCTGCAAAAATAATGTGCCACTTTCCCCCTTTTTCCCCTAGCAATGTTGGTCAAGGAAGTTTTCTACACTGTGAAGCGGATGGCTGGTAAAATGCATGGATGGTTCTCCAAAATACTAGGTAGCACATTTAATTTTGGAGAAAATTGTAGTATAGCTGGTTTTATTAAACACATTTATCCTTGTATATTACAATTTTCTTATTAAGATTATTCAACAAAAAAACATACAAAAAACATYTTAAAAAAGAAAGAGACACAGATATACATGTAAGAGCTTTATCATAGGTTCAACAATGTTTTTAGTTATATATATACCTATATATATTCTCAAATCATATCTATCACTAACATGCTAGTTTCAATTTTTTTCCTTTCGTACCTTATCCTYGCAGGAGCTCAAAACTCAGGAGGGAGGTATGTTATGAGAGAGAAAAATAAATATTTTTACAGATGAACTATATGTAAGCGAGACATCAGTCTCCATATTACCACTACTCATCTTATGAAAACAAAATAAAAATTATCATTCTTCAGTCCGTTAACTATACAAAATACCAATATAATATTTCAGCACGAGTACCATCATGCACAAGTTTAGATATTGGTATACATTGAAATCTMAAGCGAACCTCTTAGCTCCTCCCATTAGCATTTGTACCTCTGRTTATGCCCTACACAGTTTTTACCCCTTTGCTCAGTTATTTTAGGATTATTCCTAAGAGTCTTACAATAGAAATATTCCTTGCAATCTTATGTAGTTGGGTTGCMTGTATTAATATTTCCCATCATGCTTGTGTGGTCCTGTGTGACCTCCATGTTTTTCTTAGAGTAAAGTCTTGTTATCCATTGTCTTTGGATTTATTCATCTATTAAGCTKATTACATGGTGTCAGAACTGTTGTAATTGCACTTCCATCTAGGAAAAGATCGACCTRAGTTTGATGCTTGCTCTTTGGATCTCTGTCGTGCTTTCAAGTTCTCTTTAGCCAATTATCGTGCCTATTGTTTGATTGAAGATTACTGTGACTTATTGAAAATCATGGATATTGGTGACTACTCAATAGCAGCTAAACRGCCTAAAGCCCTAGTGGTACTCAGACAAGCCTTCCCTCAGGCTGAGTGGGATGTATTAACGACAACAATTRATGCTTAAATTCCTTTTGCCAAAAAGCTTCACCCTGCCAAGTGGCTGACTGGGTTAACTCAGTACTATTTAGGAAGGGAGCCAATCAACCAGAGCACCCAAAATTTCCTAATAATGTTAGAACAAGATACTGAAATGAACATTCAAGCCTGGCACACCATGGTAAGCTTTTAGTCCAAAAATTAATTTTGGCTTTAAAGGGTTAAATAAATTATTTATCCAAAACGAGATTACATCTTTTATACTTAGTACATTAAACCATCAATAAGATATTACAAAAATATATCTTCCAGTTTCTTCTTGAGGTCTTCTTACATGCAGGAARCATGGTGAGAGCACTCGCCTCCCACCAATGCCACCCAGGTTCGAGTCCCATCTGGATGCCTCTATGTTCTAGAACTGGCTGTGGGGTTCGAATCAAATCTCAAAAATAATGCTTAATGCAAAAAAGAAAGATACAAAATGCGTATTTTGCTTGTGTCTTCAATTCAAGYAGTCAGTTGTAAATTCCCTATTTGTAGTGAGATTTAAAATTGTAAATGAAAAAAATATGAAATATAGTCTCCATTATTCTTACTATAACACATTCTTATTGCACATTTTTATTTATTACACACAATTATTATGCACATAATTATTATGATTTCAATACATATACAACTTTAATGCATACATAATTTTTTGCAATAATCAAAGGATGAGTGAGTGGGTGAGTGGATGGATAGGTGGGTGGGTGTGTGCGTGGGTGGGTGAGTGGGTGGTGTATGGACAGATGCATGAGTGGGTGGATGGATGAGTCAATGGATGGATGGACCTACCTCCACTGCAGGTATCCCACATAGCTRTAGAATATTCCTGTTCTCGTACCATAACATTACCACATTTTCCTGTTGAATATCAAATCTCTTATGAGTAAACCGAATGCAATACAGACAAATTTAATTATATTTCTCAGATGTATGTGTAAATAAAAGTTAATTGCCTTATAAGTATATAAGTTAAAAACAGAACAGTTTTTTTACAATTATATATAAAGAAGTCGTCTTAAACATGACATGAATGGAAATCTATTATGACTATAGAATTTCCAAGAATTTTAATACTACCTAACAACAAATTTTAATATCATAATATCCATTTTCCTCTCGTTTAATGCACCTATCAGTGGCTTCCCTGTGGGGTCCACCCCTGGGCTGACCAGGGAGATAGGTGGGAGAATACAGAAGGATTGGATCCAGTTATTCCCCCTGGGGTTGGGAAAATTTGCGACATTGGTTTCGTGGCTAAAAACTGAGGTGGGGGATTGTGATCAAATTATTTTCATTGCAGGGGTTACCAGAGGGATTGATTTTACTCTCTAGGTGAAGAAATAGCTCCTGATTTTAAAAATTTTGAGACCACGGATGTTTTTGGTCGGGCTGGGTTACCTGTGTTATTCGACAATACCCAGATGCCTCTCTGCTCATCAAGATGGCTGACTAAGTGAGAGAATTCCACTGTGAAGTATGTTTTTTGACATTCTTTGTTGTTTCATAGATACGAATTCGAAGGCAACTTGATTTTTTTTTACTTTTAAATGTGAATTCTTCTTTTCATGAGAGTTTGTTTCCCAATCTTTTCAATGAAAAACTACCTGAAATATCGAGCAAACTGCACAGGTTACGCGTTGAGTTCAGTTTTCAAAATACAACAACGATAATTTCAACCAAAATGAGGGAGATTGTAGATTTGAATGCCTCGACCAGGGGACATTGAAAAGAACAACTTCCCTACCCCTGGGAAAAATGATCAACATTGTTTATGAATTTTTACAATCTCCCTAGTCAGCCCGGGGGTCGACCCCACGGGGAAGCCGCTGATAGGTGCATAAGTCCTGTGTCCCAATRGGCTATTGAATAACTTTTCCGTACCACCCCCCATCCCCCAATTGAGGATCTAAGTTTAAGACATGAAGATCCCTGTAGAATTCCCTGCTGTTCATRACTTACCCCTGAAGATTACAGGTGAAATGGGGTCCTCAACCCACCACGGMACACACAAAAAACCCACACAAAACAACGCTGACCCCCGAAGAATTCCTGCACAAAAACACCCCCGAACCCTGAAGAAGGACGGTAGACAAAACAGGGGATAAGATAAAGTGAGTTTGGAAATCACGGAAAACCCTAATATCAAGAACGAAAAACTCTAATTTTATTTTTCTTGATTGTTAGACAAAACACTTTGTACTGAAAAATGCAACAATTGTTTGCAAGATAAAGCGAGTTTGAAAACCGACACTTTCAAAACGACTGGTCGAGACAAACGCTTCTTGTACGATCAAAATCACTCGTTTCGGTTAAATGAAAGCCTCAAAGATGATCAGACTACTCGAATCAAGTGAAAAAACTAATAATTTCCTTTTTTAGATTATTAGACAACAGTTTCTACTAAAAAATTCAGTGTTTTGCGTGTGACCTTCATCGCGTGGTGTGCCAGCATTTTAAACTCATTTTGTGCAAACAAATTCACGTCTTAATCAGCGAAAWTCCAGTGAATATGTTAAAACTATACGTTTAAAGAATACTAAAACATATTAAGATAGTCATTACGCAGATTTTCATGTGTTTATAGCTTTCTTACCGTTTAAAAAACGATGAATAACTGTACATTCTAAACTCCTCTTTCCCCATCTCGTACGCCTCTTGAAACTGTGAACATGAAGACCGAAGAGCATGCCGAGTCACGTGGTGTAGAAGGGCGCGGCGCGTGGGGATTATATTCCAAATCTATTCCAAATACCGCTTGTCTTGCATTGCAGGCTAGCCTGCGTCACATCCGGAATTTACTTCGTAAACGCCGTAGAAAAGGCCGGATGGAACGCCAAAGAAAGTAAAGGCCGGATGGAACGYAGGCTAATTGCAGTCCAGTGATAAACGGATGCGACGGAGACTACAAGTTCACAGGCTRCGATAAGATCAGAGGGCTGCGAAACTTACGTAAGAAATCTCACTTATATCCGATCTCGATAAAATTCCTGACATATTTGGCTTTTAAGAAGCTTGGAAAATACAAAACAAATAGGAAGGAAAAATCTAAATTGTTTCTGTGTGTAATCATGCATTGCAGGCTTGAAATCTACAGATAAGGAGACCGGTTCTCTCAGGGGCGGCGGAAYCGGGGGGGCCTGGGKGGCATGTGCCCGCCCACAATTTTTTTTTGGGGTGGCCTGGCCCCACAAAATTTTTTGGGGGRAGCCTGGCCCCCCCAAAAAATAYTGGTTTTTAGTCATTGTTTTACAGAAAAAATGGGCTGCTTAAAGGGGAGGGTCGTTCAACATGCTTGAGCTCATACAGTTGTTGGTTCACAGTATGAACAGATAAGAAAAATTAGGGCTATATTTGGTTGAAATAACCACAASAACAAAGCATATCGAATGTATTACAGTATAAGCTGTGAAGTACTATTTAAAATAGATTATTATATTTAAACAGTAAAAAGAACATATCTGACGATGAAAACATTTCGAGTTTATAGCAATTTTTTTATTAAAAGCTCACTTTATTTAAAACTATAATACAGTGTATTGCAAGAACTAGATATATCATTTACACAAGAGGGGAGGGCCATGGCATYTTATGCTAAGCCCAAAGGGAGGGTAAGGAAATTWCATTCCCGTTGCTTGGATGGGTCACCCCATTTCCAACCCCAAATTCAAAATTCCCHCMTCCMCTCCCCCCTGCTAATTTCTGACAAGTCCCTCACTGTCTTTCAAGCCACAGGATAGTAGCCTGGCTGCAACACAGGAAGCCCAAGCTGGAATGATTTACAAATTGAGAATCTTCCTTGCAAATTTGTAAAAGAAATTCAGAGCTTTTGACAGCCAGTGATTCTTCTGTTGGAGGGGGGAGGGAGGGGAAGTGGGGGTCAGTAACTGGGGCAGAGAAATGTGGGGTAAAGCAAGTAAAAAGAAGATGGGAAGGTCTTTGAGTTGCAAAAAATTTAARAAGAACTACATACACTCATAAACATGATATTTTAAAGTCTAAATGTTAATGGTCATGTCAAAGGGTTTTTTCTGCATTGCGACATCAAGGAAACTGAGGAAACCAAGGAAACCCAAAAATATGAAATATATTATTTTAATGTATTTGAAACCATACGTTTTAAGTAATTGTCAACTTGTTATTAAAGAGACTTTTACATCCCATGTATGTCCCATTTACCTCCCATTTACATCCCATTTACTTCCCTTTCATCTTTATCTGATAAACTTTCATAGGCAGGTCRTGACTGTTCGAATTCTAGATGATATGGAATTACCTATGTCATRCCGTTTGAAAGGAAAAAGCTAGAGAAAAATTAATTTGCGGTGAGATTTGAACCTAAGCCAAAAATTTAAAAAGAATATTCAATTCCACTGTGCCATACCCCCCGGAGACATCCACAGAGCTGGGGCGTCGTATGAACCTCGGACCTGATGGCAATTAAATCCTTCTGCCCTTGGGTGTACGAATTACGCAAGAAAATGTTCTAGCCTAAAAAACCGGCTCACTGTGTCAAAATCAATAATATCTGTAATGTTCTATAATATTATATTTTAATATTTAATAGCAAACTAATCTACAGTAGTTTGGGTTCATTGGAATCGATAGCATAAATCCCAAATGTGTGCCTTTTGCAACCTGAAACTGACAAATTATGTCAATTAACTTTAGACAGGGTTGAAACCAGGGGTCTTGCAAGGTGGGTGCACAGGAAAGGAAAATGAAACTGTATAAACTAACAGCCGTCTTGAGAAATGGTCTAACATTCTAAGGATTTGCAGAACCAAAATAAAGGGGGTTAATTTTTGAGAGTGTAACTAACCTAGAATATTATTTGCAGAAGCAAAAAAAAAAAAAAACCATAATCCCCCAAGAATGGATGGATGATAAAAAAAACTTACATTTTGGACATGGAAAAAAAGTAGAAAAAAATAATGAATGGGTCATTGGACCTTCAGCTTTTTTGAGAAGGGGTGCAAGTACACCCYATGTACCCCTTGGTTACTGCCCTGTTAGGTAAAATCACATATTCTCACAATGGAATGTTCATGTTTACATGTAACAGACACCCATTTGTGAACAAAAGCATGCAATAACAGGTCACACATTTWAGGATTTATTAACTAGACAATAATTGGCATATTCTACTGCATCTTGAACTAGATAAACCTTTCTGATATGACAGCCATGTTTGCTGGAACAATAGATTTTTTGCACATTTTGCCATTCATTAAGATGGTGCTTCAGGATGAGTTTGCACAGACAGAAAAAAGGCTTTAATTCTCATGAATTAATAATTAATAATAATWTAATAATAAACATGGCTGCAGTGTGACAAAGGTCCATTATCTGAAGCAATCCAAAGCATTACCAATTATTCACACTACTATACCAGTGTCTGACTTCCCATTTGTCAACTGACACATCTTCCACAGAAGGTCAGTAAGTTGACCATAGACAACCATGTAATTCCATTTGAAGTATATCTCTATAAGCCAGTCCACAAAGTCAATTAATGTACATTTCATTTATAKTCATACTTTTGCACTCCATCAGCATTTTTACCCCCTTCCATAGGTATTTGTAATCTGTGTTCTTGATATTTTTCTTATTACTAGAGCATTTGTCACATTCAATACATCTATTAGGTCCGTTAATCCATATATTGATATGCAGCTGTATACTGGGACTGATATAATTATCTTTAGTTATCATTTTTCAATTTGATTCCATCTATATGCATGGTTAATGTTTATTATTAACAAAAACATTGGGGTCCAATCAGGTGCAGATATAGGTACAAATTTAGCATACTGTCCAACTCCCGGACACGCCCCTTTGCTGTTTWGTCTTTAGTTTGCTGGTATTCCGTCATTGTGATGTGGTACTAGTGATGTAAAGAAAGATGATACAAAACTCATTGCTATTCTGAATGCTGAAGGGCCGGGTGGTGGAGGTGGTGGTTGCTGTATGTTTTCTCCATCATTTGCTTCTGTACCTTCTTCTGTATCTCCTCTGCCTTCAGCATTGTCACCCTGAGAATAAAAAAAACCAGCATAAAATGTATGTCTAGGTGTAGAAGGTCAGAATGCAACTTGCAACTAACAATCTGAAAAGAAAGTCTACATTACCTCTTCCTGTCTCGGTTGTTGAGGCTCTTGGTTTGGTTGTGCCAGTGGGTGGTTTTCTGCTGAAAAAAGAGAATTCAACTATAGTGTTATAATTTCATTTAACTATACCAGCATAGTATTTCATCAATTCAATAAATTCCAATCATAATTCCTCCATATCATAGCTCTTCYTTAAATTGTAAGGGGTGCATTGTCCCAAGAAACATTGCCCTGTGTAAAACTAATGAACAATCTTCAATGACTATCATCAAAATTTATTATGCTTATCAATCAACCATCAGCTGTTGGATGGTTGACCATGCCTATCAAACTCTTACTCTGGCATTAGGTAAAATACACTTTTTTTCTTTTGATTGTTTCTTTCGTTTCCTTACCCACCTTGTTCTCATTGGTTTCTTTTGTCTTATTCTATCATATAAACACTCCTTTCTTCCACTTCTCTCTCTTTTACTCCAACGAAGGACTAGTGTCCGAAACATCAGTTTTTTCATCTTTTCACGATGTAAGAATTACCCTTTTATCATTACACTTTTACCAGGTGTTTCCTATTTTTGCAGCTCACTGAGGACTAATGGTAAGAACAACAGAGGGGTAGACCTAAGATCTTAGGTCAAAGCTGCTGCAAATAAATACTTGTAAATCTAAGTTAAACCATACCAGGAGGGTTTCTATTCCTGAGTAGCCACTGGAATACTCCCCATTGGTACATATAGATTACCATCACAGACAGAATTAGCATCAAAAAACGTCCAGTTGAGGAATAAAACCACACTATACTCAAAAGAATAGTAATACGACACAGAGTATAAATCTTGTCCAACCAATCATTGTTCAGGTTTTCTTCCTCTTCATCATCATCACCAATACCACCTTGGGCATTCATCCTCACTTCTTGGTTTCTTGGTTGTGGTGGTTGTTGAGCTTGAGGTGCATTTTGTGCCTGTGGGGGTGGTGGTGGGGGTGTTTGTGGAGGTACCTGTTGATGGGGTACCTGTGCTGCCGGGTGCATATTGACTCCTGGCATCATGGGTCCTTGGTAGGGCCAGAAAGGCATTGGAGGCATTGGCCTGTTTAATGCAATCAAAAAGCCATATAGTCAGTAGAATGCTTGGATGATGGTATTCTGTATTTATATTACAAGACCATGATTGTATAAACAAGATATCCATAACATAAGGAACAGAGTTCCTAAAGGTTGTGGGACTTTAATTCACCATCTATACCTTGCCCATTACTAAAAGTTYGCAGTACAGTAGGTCAGTGGTTGTTTAACAATTATTCGCCAAAAGTGAAGTGAATATCAGGGAACATTTACCGAGACTGTGAGATAAATATTCTCCGATATTCWCTTAGGCTGAGGCAAATAATTGTTTTAATATAAATACACAAGTGATTCTTTCAAAAAAAAGAAGATAAAAGACATTTTTTCGGGTAACAGCAACAAAGCTGTTACCGGATTTTTTTGAAAGGAGGTCATACCCCCTACCCCCCCCCCCCCCACCAGGGTTGTGTAGGACTATATATAATAATATAACTTGATAGATTGCAACTTACATGTTGAGTGGCATATTCATGAAAGGAGGCTGCATCTGTCTAGCAGCAACAGCCATTTGTTGTTGATGCTGCTGAAACATCTGCTGATACTGCTGCTGCATGTTGTGCATGTGCTGCATCCACTGTTGATGGTTTGGTGGCGATAATGGAGGATACATCTGTCCTTGAAATGAATTCATGTTCCACATCTGGGGAGGACTAAAATACCATCATAACAGTTTAGCCAATCATGATGAATTGTTGATTTAGAATGGGACTTTTTAACATGGCAGCCATGTTGGTTTGAAAAATAGATCACATTTAGGTACCAGGTACTGTACTTGAGAATACATTTATGAGGTTTTTATTCTCATGAAAATATACATGGCCACCATGTGATAGAGGTCCATATGCACATACTTAATGACCATGACTTACATAAGCCTTTTCATAGTTTAAGAATCGATTCCACTGCGCATGCGATTTTATCCCGAATTTCTCACCTTTTGTTTAATTAAGAACAAAAGAAGGTTTAGACAAAAGAAAGTTAGAAATTCGGGATAAATTTGCATGCGCAGTGGAGTCRATTCTTAAACTATGAAAAGGCTTATTGTTGTATGTGTCCTTCTACGAAGAGTTCCGACAACTGCATATCATTTGCGGGGTATTCTAAAATTGCCCCTTATGGTGCTTATCAGGACAGAGTAAGTTTTGGTGTACATCAATCAAAGCATTTAAATGGCATTCCATAGGCACATGCCCTTAAAACATTTGTGCTTTCTGATAATGTTATTGGAAACACTTTGACTGGCATCCACCAAAACCCTATTTTAATGATTTCAGTTGGTATATGGACATCCTTTTATTAACCATTGTTTGTGTCATCATGAAGTCAGCAAATGTAATATGAACTTAACCAATAATGACTAGCGGTTACTAGTTTGGACTACATTGGTGCTGTATACAACAAGTGAATAAGAAGGAAACACTGTTGTTTGTATATATACTAATGTTTCAGACGTTATTCCATCATCAGAGTAAAAGATGAAGGACTAGTATTTTGAAACTTTAGTATAGTTTAGAAGAAGCTTTGTTACACAGTGTTTAAGTTCATTCTTATTCACTTCACATGGACTTACAAGTCAAAGCCAAGAGAATAAACAAACAGTGTAACTGAGGTTAGTTAAACCAGTTAGACAAGAGAACCAATTAAAATGTAGAATGAAAACAATGCATTTCAACTTTGGAAAGTGGAACCAATCAGAAAGCTAGACTGCACAAGAATGGTAATTTGATCCTGATGGGTTACAAGTAAACAACTAGATAGCCATCATCATTTTCTCGTGGGAATAAAAAGATATGTTGAAAATTGTAATGTATTGTTTTTATTCTACAATTTGATTGGTTTTTGCTGTCTAAGTGCCCTCTATTATAGTAGTCACACTGTAACAGTTTTAACTGCGTTTGAGACAGCTTTTCAGAGCCAGTACCTTTGTTTATATAACAACATGCTGACCTTGAGATTATTTAGAGCAGACATCCTCATCATACTTGCTTGAGTAAGTTATAAGGATAAAACTTTGTCAATTCAATAAACTAATTGTGAATATTCTTAGAATACAAGCTTACCTTGGATTATTCGTAAAAGGAGATGGTGTCGGTGTRTTGTGTCCTCTATATCTGACACCATCTGTAGTTGGTTGCGTTGTTGTTTGGGTTGAGGGAGATTGCATTTCTCTACTTGGGGAAATTATTGTTGGGTTGGATGTAGTTGTGTTTGTTTCCTTGAATAGAGAAATAAAATATGAGAAAAAATTCAACTAGATCCTGGATTACAAATTCCAATTTTTGAAACTAAAATCCTGCCTTGTTCATACTCAACACTTCACCATCACTTCACCAATATGCCATCACTTGGCAGACTGTTGGTGGAGTGATGGCTGTGTGTCGGGCAAACGGTGGCAGTGCATCACCCCTTCACATTGAAATGTCTTGGCTTACCGCTTTTTTTATAAACATGCAAACTATAAAGATCAAATACAGAACTGGTTTTATCAGGGGTTTTAGCGGAAGTCTGTATTTGTACATAGATTTCACATGTTTATGAAAATTAAGGCCATGCATAAAAAATGCAAATAAATTAATGCAAGGGGTCTATTGACATGATAAAGTGCAAACCATATATATCTGTGAAAAACTATAGAAACTCAACACATCTACTTCCTTTGTTTTCTATTGTTTCATTGTTGCTATTTTGTACTAATTATTAGTTAGTACTATTTCACAGATATATGGTTTGCGCTCTAGCAAATACCAAGTAATGAATTAATGAATTCTGTATTCTGATGTACAGTACCTGTGAAGATGATGGGTTGGATGATATGTTTTCAGTGCTTGATGGAGGGCAGACTAAGTGAACTGTGTGGAATTTACCATCTTGATGCTGAATAGAAAAAGATATTTACAAGTAAACATCACATCATAAAGAAGGTTTAAAATAGTGGCTTGCCAGATAATATTCAGCCAAAATAAGAACTTGTCCAGTTAAGCTTTTGTGGAGGGCCAAATCCCTCTTGACTTAATGGGAGGGTCACAAATTTCTTACTGAGTGAAAGAGGGAGGGCTGGACCATTTTTTAAAAGTTTACTAATAACCCCCTGCCCTCCCCCAATAAAAAAAGGTACCTTCCCTAATGACAACTTCCATTTTTGTTCTACTGAAAAAAAAACTTTAGCATAATTTTAGACATGAATATAGAGTTTCACGTGCTGTGATTGGTCAAAGACCGGTGATTCTGAGACCATAATAACTGCTCTTATAGTACACTCAACAAAATTACTCAAGTCTGATTGGTCAAGAGGAGTACAATTATAGCGTTAATTGTACTCCAAAGTAGTACCAAATTAAGTCGCTATGGCAACAAGGCCAAAACAATGTCAAAACAATTATCATTTTCTATCATTTTATACTTAAAAAACATAAATAAAATTTTAAAGCCGTAAGAACTAATCTTATAAAATCGGCCGCCAAATAGACAAAGATGAACGACGTTGCTTCGAATTTTTTACTGAAATTTTGTTGAGTGAACTATAAACAAAAAATCAACACAATCTTCTCGTACAATTTGGAATTAATAGACACTCGTAATGTTTTGATGTATGACCATATCCTCAGTTATATATGATAGGTGATAAGACAGACTAGCTGAGTTTAAAGATATGACATATAGCATGCCTGATTTTTTTTTTTTTTTTTTTTTTTAATGTGATAGATGTAGAATAAATATGTATGGGATGACTATACAGTCAAGCAAGTGTTACAACTTTACATCATATCCTAAAAACAATTTCTTGTCCTTGTGAAGGGCATTCATTACTATAGAGTAAATAAAGTCAATTTTACGTAGACGTATGACCAAGAGGCAATAACCAGAGTGTCTATTATGCAACAAATGTAAAAGCTCTCTCTATATTAATTGAAGCGTGAAAAAATTAGTAAACAGGTTAGTGAAAAGAACAAATATTTTTTAAGGCGAAAAATATTTTATATCAAAAAAAGAAGGAAAATAAAAGAGGCCTACCCGTTAGTGAATTATCGAATGTTTTATAAACCAAAACAAACCGACAATTCAATTATTTAATAGCTGGTACTACAACAAGTCAGGATAGGTTTTTGATGTATTGCTTGTATTTAGACACCAATCAACGGCAATAAATGAGAATATATGAAGAATGAAGGAAGTTTTTGTTGTCTGGCTCAAAAACAAAAGTTAAAGTTTTGTAATTCAATATACATATCTTTATTAGAATAAGTTTACGTCATTTAACGCAGCAAAAAATTTATTGAAGTTGGATATAGTCAGAAGTTTTCAAGTCCATCGAGAGATAAACTTCTTATTTCGTAAAGATTAAAATTTAATATCTACTCATATCGTAGGATGCTACAGATTTTGTATGTACAAACCAGAAAACTCGTATTTTCTTGTCCCTAGCCGCGTCAGTAAACGAATAAAAAATCTTAACTTAAGGTTACCTCGCGAAGAAAATCCTTTAAAGTTTGGTTGTCGTTTAATAACTGTCCTGAGTAAATTAAACGTTGTTTCTTGCTTTCCTAGAATAGAGAAAGGGTTTTATTTAGTAAAGATATACGATGAAAAAGAAGACATTCTCAGTACAGGAAGTGGTTTTCAAGAAGATCTGGCTAACCAAACCAAAAACACGTTTACTTTACTCACTGGTTTACTAGGATAAACGCTGGAAAGATGTTGTTTTATCTTCCTCACTGTCCAGTCCAATGCACAGTTGATTTGTAGGTCGTCTATGGTTTTATTTGGAGTTTTTACGATAAGAGTTACAGACGAATCCAAGTTCAAGCCGTCCATTTTGGATCTCGATTTGTTGTGCTGTAATGAGAAGCCAGCCATGYCACGTGATCGATCCCGTGGCGAACGGTGGTTGGTTGACCCAATAGGCTCTGCGGCCTTCAGTTATGACGTTAAGACTCAGGCTGATGCAATACTACGCAGTCCATTTAATGTTTATTTTTTTCGGAGTAACGAGAAAAAAAACCATGTCACTTGATGAATTGTAGCGAGCCCTGCTCACCTCACCCGATGCGCTTTACGGCTAACACATATTAATGACGTATGTAATTAACTGACGAGCTGTAAATGGTGACGCAATTTTGTCTCAAAGATACCATAAGAATTCGGTTACATTTTCCCCCCTTTGATTTATCTTCTACCAACAATATTCAGGCTAATGACTAGGAGATCTCGTTAATTCATCAGAAAGCCGGCATTACCAGAATTTTTGGGAGGGGGGGGGGCTGGGGAGAAATGTTACTTTATACTTTCTTATTTACTTATTAAGCACATCGCCCCCGGCCCATTGGAGCATAGGCCATCTGTCACTTTCCTTCAACCAGCACGCTTTTTRGCTTTTCTGGCTACCAATAACCAAGCCATTTGGCCATCTCCCCCTCCAAGGCCCTTTTTTCACAAATTAATTCCTCGGCCACCCCCGGCCCTTTTCATTTGCCAAAAATTCCAGGTAAATGCCTGCAATCTAGTGATATTTCCGACAGGCTTCCGCAAAGTAGGGCGACCTAGCCGGCCAACCCCCTTCTTCTGCTTTTTTTCCAGAGCTCCACATTTCTGATGTTATCCTGACAACGAATCTTGAAGATCTTACGCACACAGTTATTGATGAATGTCTGGACCTCACTGAGGAATTTCTTTATAGATCTCCAAACTTGGAAACTTGCATGGACGATATGCAAAAATATAGAGTTTATTTTCATTAGTAAGTTAATGGTTGTACAGGGCATGACTAAATAGATAGAAAGAAATATTAATAACGCTGATTTAAAACTTTTTGTTAGAAAAGATGCACGCAGTGAAAGAGAAATCTTTTTTTAGAACCTGTCATGCACCTGAGTAAATGACGCGCGCGATTGATGTCACAATAGCTGACGTTGTTTGAAAAACTGAGCAAATCCAGAACATCAAGTGGAACATCAAGATATTTTCGCGGCTTTTGAATGGCACCATAACAACGAGGAGTGAAAGAAAAAATGCAAGATTTTCAAAAAATTTCGAAGTCCCATTTAAAAGTGAACTGCTGTAGACCAGAGGATCTTCCTTCTAGCCTTCAGGAAAAAGAGGAAACAAACAAAGAGTCAAAAAGGATGATGGAAATCGAAGAAGAAGAAGCAAAAATGAAATTAAAATGGTCCATAATTCAAGAACGAGCCGTCATGAGAGGAATACAAACTATTTTCAAGAAATATAAGACAAACATGAAAAAAGGAGAGGAAAAAGAATGGGACAAACTAAAATCTCGAATCAAAGCTGAACAAGGCCGAAAAAAGAAAGAATTTCAAGAGAATGTGAGAAGACAGACAACACAACAGCTTGAATTACTGAAGTCTTTAGGGTATCGTGTGGTGGAAACTGGTGATGAATACTGTTTTTTTGTGCCAACGTGTAGTGGCTGTCACAAGGCTAGCAGTCAGCTGTTGGTATGTGAAGCATGTATGGTCACGTGGTATTGTGATGAATGGTGTCAGCGGAAGGACTGGGATGAGCGTCACTGTTATCAATGTAGAACAAAACGAATGAATAAGACTTCATGTACATTCCCTTTCAAAGTCTGCAAAAATTAAAGTGATTATATAACTTCAAGTGAAATACTAATTGTTCAAATTAATTCAAACAAAATAAGGAAACATTCGATTCTACATTTAACATTTTGAGATTTAACTGCTGACTTTACTGTACCCTTTTGTGGCTTACGTATAATTATGTTTATATGAGAATATATAATTAATTTGTACTGCGGTTGTGATGTATCAAATTGAGCTGATCCTCGCAGTATGGTCAAGCAAATTATGCAGCTACGAATTTAAAGACTCAGAAAAAATTCTGAGTCTAGATAATTTCGTTATATCAACCAACTGTAGCCTGCGTGCAGACCGAATTTAACTGTCGTTAACGACACTTAAATTCGGTCTGAACGCACTGGCTAACCAACATGTCGACTCCATTCTTTGTCACTTCATTCTATTGGCAATAACTGCAATTTATTAAGCTATAGATATGGCATCGCTTTTTGCGTTGCTTTAGATCAATTTTTTCATACCTTGCAATCTTATATAACATTTTTCTGCGTACATGAAATAAAAATTAAGAATGGACTGAATCAATTAAATTAAATATTGTAAACATGTATTTTATTGACTTGTATTCATTAAATATAAGTATTATTAACATAACATGATAATAGAGACCTTTGACATTAGGTTTACCGCTAACTGCTGGAAATCAGGCCCAGAATTACGCCTGCAAAGACCGAGAAACACTCAGCATCAATAGACGATAAAAATCAATATGGCGGCTCTTCCAGCAACAACTTCCCTATGACGCCTTGCTAAATGTCGAACGTTTGACGGAAAATGTCTGACATCGAACTGCGGTTTGAGGTTTGTGGTACCTATAGCAAGAACGTCGTGCTTAAGGCCTCTAGTAATTAATGGTATACTTTCCCTCCAGGCAAAGTCTCTCCTCCTTCAGGTATACATTATCCAGCCTGGTCTGGAGTGCGCTCCCTTGAACCAGAACGTCATAATCAATGCAGCTAGCGCGCGAGGACATACGTAACAAAAGATTCCTTCAGATTGTTAAAACAAAACAAACAATAAGACTCGATTCACAAACCAAATAACGAGAACAGGCTAGAGAAAAAAACTCTACAGTCACTAAAAGAAAATGAGTATGTCGTCAGTAGTACAGATCGACAATGATTACGATATTTGCTTGGCTTACCTTCAGRATGCAAACCTCCTGTCTCGTCGAGAAAGAGAAAAGCTAATCACCCAGCTGCAGATTGCTTACGCTTGTATCCTAACAAGGGTGTAATGGTGGAGATGTGTTGCTAGAGAGATCGTAAGAGAGATTCAACAGGAGACGAGGCAAAATGCTAATGAAATTCAAAGAAAGTTTGAAGAAAAAGAGAAATCAATCAAGAACTGCATGCTTAAAGAACACGAAGAAAACATAAAGCAAGTCGAACAGGAAGAAAAAGAAAAGCTTATTTCTGTGCTGCTAAGATGTCTCTCTAACGAGAAAATGGTTGATGAAACTTCGCCTCCTGAGTGCAAGTATTGTTTATTCTGTAACAGGCTTAACTTTGAGAAAACAGGCAAAGAGTTGTTGTTATGCAGTGGATGCATGAAGAGTTGGTACTGTGACGACGAATGCCAGAGAAATGACTGGAAAAATCACGAACGTTTGTGTAAAACAGAAGCTGAAGAACTGTTAGATCTATTTTACCCTAAGAGTACAGAACCATAACCGTCTTCCGAGAAAAAGTTTTTCCCTTTTGCATTTTTATGCTTCCATGAAAATTAATATTCCATTAAATTTATCCAAACACTTTAATTAGTGATAATAAAAAATTGCGAAAAAAAAGAAACTTATATAAGAGAGTTATAATCTGGTGAATGTTCATCAAGATGCTTTAATACTAGGAAATTTCCCGCTTGCAGTTTTGTTGCCGCGACCCACTGATTCAAGAAGCAGAACCGAGTAGTGTGACGACAACCCTTTTGCAAATTTGACTAATCATATTCACATTTACGCATGCGCTTTAGTTGTCAAAAAAATAGCTTGCGTCCCAGTCTTTTACGTTACCGTTGGGAGGCGAGTTGAAGGAGAAGTACCCTAGTGTAACATCTGCACATATTTGGTTGCGCGAGAAAGTTTCATGAACATTTTCCTAGTGTAACAGCACCTTAAGGTGACTGCCTACCTTTTAAAAATTAGATTTTCTGAATAGGAATTTAATGCTGATTCCAAATCTGGTAAGAAAAATTGGGTGTCCCGGGTTAATTTTTTGAGATAATTTTAATTGAAGCCTACGCACGAGCTTTTGGAGYAAAAATTGCGCCACCGGAAGTGATTGGGGAAAAAATTAAGATTTATAAGATAATAGTTATTTGCAGAATATATGATTGCACAAATGATGGCTAGTCAATCATTCTACAATAATATGAGCATATTTTCGACAAAAAGACAGATTGATTTATTGATTTGTCATATTTTGTAGTTTCGGTGCTCTTGAAAATCTCATAAAGTCGAACAAAAATCCCTCCAAAAATCTATTTTTTCGTGTGTTAGAAAAATTAACTTTTTCTAAATTGTTGATATAACCTAGATTTTTAGGAGTTTTTTCGAATAAGCTATCAAAAAATAGAGAGTCCCGTGCAAAATTGGAGTGTTTTTGCCCTGTTGAAGCTCAAAACGCATATGGTTCTTCAATAAAATCTTAAGGCAGTCACCTTAAATACTGAAATGAATGACGAGATGCTAAAGAGAAAGAACTAAGAAAACCTTAAATACTGCTTGTACGTATAAAGCAGCGCGCTTGAGTCAATCTTCTCCAGAATTTGAATCACGTCAAAGAGCATCTTATTCCTATACGTTCTCCAGTTTTATTCGACAAAGTCTTCATCAGCCACCCAATTTAAATCAGAGACCAGTTTTATCGTGGAACCTGTAGTGGAATGAGATGATAGGACTCTCGTTTGTACATCGATCTAAACAAACTTTTCTCTTGGGTCAGAAGAGTTTTAGGTTCGCCATCTAGTTTCTACGACTCGTGCGTGTATTTGTAAACAAAACACTCACATCAGTCTCTAACCCCTAAATACACAATAGATGTCTATTAGGTCTAACTGTGTAGTGTCTATTCTGTCTATAGACCAAAAAAAGATAGGAGTGTCTATTGTGCCTATAATATCTATATATATACACAATAGATGTCTATTAGGTCTAACTGTGTAGTGTCTATTCTGTCTATGGACCAAAAAAAGACAAGAGTGTCTATTGTGTCTATAGTATCTATATATATACACATATTCTGTCTATGGACCAAAAAAAGACAAGAGTGTCTATTGTGTCTATAATATCTATATATATACACAATAGATGTCTATTAGGTCTAACTGTGTAGTGTCTATTCTGTCTATGGACCAAAAAA